AACTCAAATTATATTCACAAATATTTTTAGTCTCATAAATTTCAAACAAAATAAAATTTAATAATTTAGGTATTACACAAATTATTTTTAAATATTATAAATAATTGATCTTATATAAAAAGAAGACGAAGAAGTAGGTACCTATAGAAATGAAGCCAGAGATTGTATCTATGTAAAAAAAGGAAATCTGGTTTTTCTGCTTCATTAAAAGTGAGAGATTTATATTGATTATTGAAATCAATTGCAAATCCTTCTTCATCAGAAACCTGCACGGCTATAAGCGACCGGTAAGCCGCACACGGACGCGACAAAAACAGAACGACGGTTCTGCCGCCGTCTCGATCGGATAAGGCCCGAATGCATTTTGCCCCGGGACGTCGCAATCCATTTCCTGCGCGCGGCTTAAGCGCTGCCGATCTCCGCCGTGACCTTATTTCGCGATGACGAGACGGCAGGAAACGGAGGAGAAGAGAAAAAGCGGAATGAAAGAAGGGCGAGAGAGTTCGCGCGCCCTTCGTGCCTGAGTCGTGACATGACAAGAGCGACCGGGAGTCGTTCATATCGGCAATCCTGTCACCTCGCCGGTCGTCACGATCGCAGCAAGGCCCTTTGACGATCAGGTTAGAAAAAAATAATATTCAGAGAGAGAGAGAGAGAAGCGAGAGAAGTCACATGAGAAATGAATACTCAAAAACATACTCGGCCATTGACATAACGAACGTGACCGCCGCGCCTCTGACACTATTATTCGCATCTCGAGAAAGGCACGAGTGTGTCGTCCCACGCGTCTACAGCTCTGGTTGCGATAAATCGGTATTAAGTCGAAATTACGATCGTATCGGCTAGTCGGTAGCGATGGTGCGTGCTCGGACAAATCGCGGGAGGCTTATATAAGTCCCTGTTGAGGGCACCATCTGGACCGACCGGACGATCGCCCTTGTATTGATGATAATTGCGCGCCGAGATCATTCGTCCACTTTTTCTTTTCACGCCCCTTGCTTGACGGATGCGTATGCCGATTTATTTTGCACGACACGAGTAAGTCGCATCGAAATTGACCATGAGTTTGTCGGGATGATTTTATTTACCAGCCTGTTAAACGGTAGTATTTTTTCTATTCCTTTATATGTGTGGGAATTTATTTTAAAATATTTTATATTTGTACTAAATTAATAAATTATCTTATATAATTAAGCATATATATATTTCTCTTCTTACAAATATTATTTATTTATTAAATTTGCAGTCTAATTAATAAATGTAATCCCATGCCGTTATACTTCATGCCAATAAGTGTTGCTATAATTAAATATTTTCATGTGATGAAGTTCAAGCTTTTTTTATTCAATTATTCGTTATATATTCTATAAATTATCTGGAACAATATATGCATATTTTAACATATTTCTTTAAGGACGCAATTTTTGCCAAGGAATCTATTTATTCTCACCAATTTGTTAATAATTATCTGAAAAAAACATTCTGTAATTAAATGCAAATATTTATTTTGCTTTCTCTGTAAAATTCCCATACCTATATTAAATAAGAGATTGTAAAAAATAAATTAAAAAAAAACAATGCCAGATTGATTAGAAGTAGTTTGGCAAGATAAAGTTTGAAAAATATTATTTGAAATGATTCTTTATGCGCTTATGTAGCATGCACGTCGTGTACAATGTCACTTATGCTAATTCCAAGACCTTTTGAATCCTGACGTAGGGTTCTAAGGGTACGAATTATTCCTGCGGATCTTCGTGTCAGCGTCTCGTCACTGTCACGAGGGATTAAAATCCGGTTTTCGATTCACGCTGCACCCTGTCAATGAAAATAATAATGCCAAGCGCGCGCACATGCAGCGAAGCGCATTGTAGGCCGTGCGCGATGCTCGTCATCTGTAGAATGACGCGCGCGCGTTCGTTCGCTTTGTGTCACCCGTTTACTGTAACACAAACACGGCGCTTGCCGTATCACTGTCGTTTTAATTACAATTTCCAACGCTAACGAAAATTACCCACGCGGATCCGGGTTTGAACCCTCAGGGAGAGAAATGATGCTTCTTCCCTCGAACTGAAAGCTATTCTATTCGCTTCACTTCAGGATGCCGTTTCATGTGATAAACGCGTATTTAATGTTTCTATAATTTTGCTAAAGAGAGAACACATATAATATGTACTTTAGAACTGTTATTTAAAGTAAACATAATTATTTAATTATATAGATATATATTAATCTATTTATTAATATGTTTCTATAATTTTGTAATACTAATACACGACTTTATTATCGACATTAGTATAATATCAAAACATTGACATGATATCAGGAAGTTATATAATTACTGTGTATATTAATGAATATATTATAAACTGCTCACACACATCATTAATACTGATTGTTAGCAAATAATATGAAATTTATTTACAATAATTAGGAAATATGACGACTTTATATTCTGGTTTACATTTTGAAACTTTTCAGAATCTTTTATTAATTTTTTTAATGTATGTACAGAGACTATAAATATAAATAATTCATGTCTAATAAAACAATTGCATTTCATCAAAAAGTAAAATGTATAGAAATGTATATAATATTTTGTGATTTTTAAATCCCTTTTGGATTTGATGCGAAAATTTCACTTGTCCGTGAAAAGGTTAAATGCATCCGAGTTTGGCAGCTCTTTCGTAAATAGCACTGCGTACATTGTGCCGTTTTGAAATCGTTTTAATTGCACATGCACTCAGCCGCATGCGATTGTTATTGGTCAATAGTCATCATCAGCTAGCTTACATAACGTTGTCATATATTGATCTCGATATTCTCGGTAATTATGGATTCTCTATGTAGTTTATGCATATTTTGGTCCGTTAATCACAGCATAAAGTTTGTGGGAAATATATCAGAGGTGTGAGTAAAATGTTGCGAAAAGAAAATATAATTAATAAATATTGATATTTTTTATTGATTAAATATAAAAACACTTTATTTATTTTAAATGTTATTTTTACCATTATTACAATATTTAAACAATATATATACTAAGGATTGGATTGCGGGTTGCTTATTAAAATTTGATCAAAATTGGGAATTGTAAATTATTCATAAAATTATAATTATATCAAGCTATGAAGATCGCAATTCGTATCAGTTGAACGCGTCTGAGCGTCGTTATAAACAGCGTCATTACTGTACTCATGAATACCAAATAACAATGTTAAACCATCACGAAAATGTAACCTTTTAGTAGCACAATATTTATTAAAAATAGTGCATTTTATTTTCTATTTTTAATGCAATACAAATATACAAGAGAATTTGAAATCTTTTCCAAAAAATATATAAAATAAAAATAATCCAAATCTTTAAATTGTATAAAATAGAAAGAAAATAACAAATTAAAATAAACGCCAAGCACCAGTGTAAATAATATACTGCAAAAATTTAACTAAATAACAAGTTAATAATTTATAGTTAAATGATGCTTTTCTTAATTTTCGATCTGTTCGACGTGTTCAAAAGAAGGATATTATACGAATATTTTTTTCTTTTTTTTTATAGATTCATGTACTATTTCACAAAGTGTTGTTTGTTATACGATTACAAAAATATGATTGTTTTCTTAAAAACTTGATTCAATTGTAAGTAGCACGCAAGTTTGGGATTAGAAAATGATGGAATTTCTTGTAACACTGTAAACGTATAAGAATTTTACGAAAATAAAATTATAAAATCTGTTATAAAATTTATAACTATTGTATTAGCGATTGTAATTTAACTGGCTGCTAAAAAGCAATTTGTTAGATGCTTTATTACAAATTTAGAATTATGTTATTATATGTTTCTATTTCTTAAATATTAAGTCACATCAAATATAAAGTAAAAGCTTTTAAATTTAATTTATTTCATTTAATTTAAAACATTATGTTTATTTCTTTTAAATAAAGTTGAAGAGATAAAATAGCCAAATTTTTTAAATTTTATTTTATTGAAATCTTGAGAATAGAATACAATTTTTTTCATAGATTTATTAATTATGCAAAGAATTAAAAAAAAAAAATATATATATATATATGTGTATATGTATATGTCTATATATAATTTTATCATAACTGATAACTTATTATGTGACAAGAAGCATCTTTGCAAGGATACTGTCGCCATCTCTTTATTGAACAACGTATCATTTTCTTTCTTTATCCTGAGGATATTTATTGTTCAATTAGATAATTTGCATTATTATAAACATATTGACGTCTATAAAATAATTTAGTTTTATTAATATCTAATTTTGAATTTACTGTGTTTAATTAATGTAATCTTTTTATACAATCAATTTTTGTTATGATACCATCTATTGAGCATGATATGATTTAATTCAAAATAGATATTGTATAAAAATATTACAAATGTAATATTTTTATACAATATCTATTTTGAATTAAATCATATCATGCTCAATAGATGGTACTATAACAAATTTCCAGGAATATAGACCTTTTCCTTCTGTTGGTCACATTAGATGATATATAATATTTATGAATATAATATTTATTTTTGTATTATAAAACAAAACATTTAATTCAATATAGATTTAATATTGTAAATATATTTGATAATAATAGGAAACAATTTTAATTATTTGAAATTTATTTTTTAAATAATTATATATAAATTTGGATAAATCCTGAAGTTAAACAAAAAATAAAAAATATATATATTTTTTAGTATTTTTTTTAAATAATTGTAAAATTAGCATTTAATTTATTTGAAAATAATTTAACAATTTTAATTTTAATTTTATCATAAATAAGTATATGTTATTTTAACCTCTATTTTATATTTATTTATTTTATATTTATTTACTAAAAAATTTATTAATATTATGTTGTGTATGTGTTTCTTTTTGTATAAAGATTATCATAAATGCGTATACATATAAGATAGGATACAATAATATATTTATTCATATATAGCTATATATAATATAAATATTGAAGATATAAAACACGCATCTCTTTCATTTAATATTACTGCATCTATGTACATATTCCATTTGCTAGACATAATAATATATTACACATATACAGTATAAAATTCTTTCCAAAATTTGAAATACGTCGCAGCATAAATTTTGTCACAAAATAAGTATTCTATATACTCTAAGCATATAGTCGTTGAATATAATAACTATTTGTTTATAATAAATACACAATTACTTTTTTACAAATAGCACTTACTCAGCCTTGCAGTTTTCTGTTTAAAGTTTTAAAATGCGATGTTCAATGGTTCTTTTGAAAGTTATAACAATCGAGACTATGCACAGCCTTAAAATATTCGCGAGCATTATGCTATTGCCAGAGCATCGCGCTATGCTAATAACACGATGGCTAAAGCACATTTATTACAAACTATTTACAGCGACTTCTTATAAAGGCAACGCTGGCATATTATTAATATCGATACATCATCTTATACAGACTGAGTTGCTTGAATATATTTTGTGTTGAGTACTTTCGAAAATGATCAAAACGTAAATCCACATCGAAGTTCCACGTAGATCATTTAGAATTTGCTTTAGTATTGAGTTTTGCAATGAAATCCATTGCCTGATTGTCTCCTCTTCTATGCTCCAATGCGCGAATGACGTCCGTACCTTTGAATAAATTTGGATTGACATTTAATATAAAATTCACAAGTAATGCATATAATTAAATTTGATGCATATTTATATGAATAGCATATAATTTTTTATATAATTTGTTTTAATTATAAATGTAAAATATTGAATAATAATAATAATAATAATAATGGACATTTGGTATTCAGACTTCGCAACACACACTTGAAATATCGGGGAAAAGGACTTGTTAAAACGATAATCATGCTCAAATATCGCATAACTTGGCATCTCAGACCAATCGCCTTGCATATCTATTGGTCAACAGCGAAGAATCGTTTCAATTTATATTTTAATATTTAACTAACTTTGTATTTTTAACATCTAACTTTATATTTTAATATTTAATTTTTATGTATTGATAAAGACTGTAGTGCAGTCGAAACGTTTACAATTTATATCGATTCTGTAACGGAATGTTAATTTAATGATTTAACTATTAATAAAAAAAATTTTTACATCTTATTTATTTGCTCGTTTAGTTGGCCTACTATATGATTGTTTAATTTTGTTTAATTTATACGAGCCTTTCATTAATTAATTTTAATAATAATAATTTTTCAATATGTATTTTGCAACTCTCGATTTAATTATTATGAACTATGAATTATTGTTTCTGAAATATAATGCGAGAAAAACTTATTTATTTTATAATACATACTTTTTTTGGTTGGACGGGAAAGTTTCAAATGAATCTGTTCTAAAATTGCAAAATCAGTTTCTGGTTCAGTGTCAGGAATCTCCTTAAATGGTAGGAAAGCTTCAGCCATAAATCTTGTTCTAAGAAAATCTTTGTCTTTTATCTCAAATGCCACTATAGCGTCCTCTATAGCTCTCTGTTCCGGAGTAAGAGGACTAAAATATTGAAAATGTTATAAATATATATTATATGTAATCATAACTAATAATTTTAATAATCAAATATTTTACTAACATGTTAAATGTTTCGTCAAAAAGAGGAAACACCGTTTCTTTCTGCACATGCGTTTTTGGCACTTTAATATCAGCAAATTTCTCATCAGGTAGAAGTCTGATCTTTACGTAGGAATCGCATTTACCTGTAAAAAACGTAATAAATTTATAGTTTATATCACATAAGCATTTGTTAAACATTTGATGAAACCCAATGTGAAATTATTCATGCACAAAGATGATTATCATTGTCGACACAATCTATTCTTATCGATGAGGTCATTAAACTCTAAGTTAATTATAATGTTAAATATTTAGTATAGTTTTAATTATATCTAAAATAATTTCTTCATTTAGTGATTTTATATTATTCCATATTTATTATTGTTAATTTATTTTTAGAAACCTCATATATAGATAAGATTATAGATAATCGACTTAAACAATATTCCGTGTCAATATTCAATATGTTTAACGCTAGGAAGACCATTATGTATTCACTATAATTTGTATTTTTCTATTTTTATAAAACGTCACAATACATATTTGCTCGTATCATGCATTTTGAAAATGCTATTTCCGCGAGTGCAGGCAATTTGATGGGCGAATCGTGTAACAATAATGAGGGAGAACTTTATTTTACATTTGCTTTTACATACTTGTCTTCCCTTCTTTCACTCTTTGTTTAGATTTTGAGTGTAGTTTGCGTTCGAGAGTAGACAGCTTGCCTATAAAATCGCCTACAAAATCGAAAAAAATATAATTCCTTCTCTTGAAGTTCGCGATTATTTACACCAGCGTCAGAGACATTAAAATTAAAATAACCACTTATTCCAACAATAAAAAATAATTATCCGTTTGATAATCCGCAAATTATTACTTGAATAATTACGTAAATTTGTTTTAAATTATTTAACTATTACTTATGTATCACCAGATGTTCCGCTTATATAAGACATTTTTTTCATTTCGTAACTGCAAACCTCATTTAGTTGGATGTATTTTATTTTATTTTGTTCAATATTCTTTTTTGTTATTTTTGCACGTTAATTTTACATTATCACACAAACATTGTATTAATATGTTATATTTCTTTATAGATACGTATAATTTTACTTACCATTGCTATCCATACTACGAAGATTTCTGGCATTCAAAATCTGTATATTCAGCGAATTATCGATGAAATGTGCTTTGACGGTGACAAGACCATACATAGGCTCCTCAATTTCCTTCTGTTCCTCTAAACGTTCTTGATGATAACGATGTATGAGCTGAGCAGTTTCAAGTCCATGTAATTTTAAAAGACGTTCGATATTTTCTAAAACTTGCACATTCGCTGTTTCATCGGCACCGAGATTAAAAATCGGATGAGCGTGTGAAGAGTTCGATGTAAATTCGAGTAAAATGCTGGCGGTCGTCGTTTCTGTTAAACAACAATTCTATTTTATGAAAAACTAAGGCTCTTTAAGAATAAAAGAAAAATATACTGTCTGATAAATATAAGTACCTCTAAATTAATGTTGACTAGCTCATATAGCGTCTGAGACATGATATCCCAAATCACCAGGAGAACTCTTTTAAAGTTGTCCTCGTTGAGATTATCATGTAACGTTGCCAGATTATTATCTAAATACTGTAGCAGACGATCCATCGCGTTACTAGTTGTATCAATTAATTCGGCTCCCTCCATGAGATATCTGCAAACACAAGCAAATCTTTCATTAAAGTATATAGGATGTAATTAAATTAAAAAAAAAAAAATAAATAAGTTGCACTTATTACAAAATTTTTTATAAGTTAACGAAAATTATTATTTAATGTAAAAAAATAATAAAATATTTGACGTACCTGTTCATTGCAGGAGCCATTTTATTAGCTACAACTTCTAACAGCTCTATGATCTTATTCTTCACAGTATCTGCGGCATTATCAATAATGAGTTGAAGAGTCTGCCGACAACGATCAGCTTCTTCTTGAGTCTTGTGTTCCCCTAAAGCCTCCACGATTTCTTCCAATCCTAAATCTTTAGCCAGTGGTGCAATCGACGTTCTAATATAATCAATATTATTAATTGCAAAACACCAGGCTGTCGATATTGTAAATTTTTTCTCATAAACACTACTCTGCGAGAGCTGCTCTAACTCCGTTGTCAGCTCTGCTTTTGCTGCCATCTTATCCGCGTATGCAATGGAACATTTACAAATATCCTGTGATAAACAATTATATTTTATTACAAATTATTTAAAATTATTTCTATAAAATTAATGTTTTTATTTGTTTTTATTTATATTCAAATTTTCCATTAACAAGCACATGTATACTGTACGTTAATTGTATTAAACTTTAAGTAGATAAATTTTTAAACTTACATCAATGATCTTTGCTATGAATGTGTAGGAACCTTCAACGTCCGGCCACGCAAGCTGCGTCCAAAAGACTTTGATCTGATAGAAAGTTGTTAATGTATCCACCGCGCTCGAACTGTACTGAACACTGTTGTCAACTGCTCGTAAAGTGTCAATCTCAACCGCTCTGTCAATGCGTTTAAGTGCTTTATACACTGCGATATCTAACCAATGCGCAACACCACCGCGAAACCACTCATGATACTTTTGTATCTTCATATCTTCCAGCTGCCCTTCGGCGCAAAGTACCTGACCAAGTCTGTAATTAATATTTATTATTTATATATCGATAATTAGATAAGTGCTTGTGTAAAGTTATTGATATCATATAAAAAAATGTTTCAATATTAGAATAAGAACTCACACGGCATATCTTTGAAGAGTAAGATAAAGCTCAAACAGAGTTGTGCCTAAACTTAATTCTGCATTGTCGGTGCTATCAACTTCAATTCGTTTTAATCTGGCACATACATCCTCTATAATAATCATGCACATATCGCTGATTCTTTTCTCATACGCAATATACAGCATTCTTGCATACGGAACGTTGATTTTTCTGAAAAATTGTTTAAAAAATCAATATATCTATTATATTATTTGTATTTTATTAAGTATGTTTTACTTTGTGCATTTCCTTTAAAATAACTTACTTTATAAATAATTTATCATAAATCTCAATAGCTTTCTGTAAGTCTGCTCTAATCAATTGAATTACTTTAATATGATATCTAAGAGCATCTTCGTCCAATTCTGTGTCAGGTAAATTATTGTTTACTATATGATCAAACCTTAAACATGTGAAAATATGCTTTGAGTAAAAATGTCAAATAATATTTTAAATTCATACGTTTTAATTTATACTTACCATTCTGCACAGCTTTGTATAATAGTGTATTCCAAGCCTTGTAGTACATCTATTTTGACATCTTCAAATTGAGGAAACCAAGAGTACATTTTGTCCGGAAAAAGGTCAATGTCTGCAGGAACTTTTAGAGATGATATAGATGATAATATCCTGTATAAAATAATCAAAGTTTATATAAATATTTTATTTATTTTATATATATATATATATATAAAGAATTTTTCTATTTCATATTATTAAATTTACTACCGGTCTAGTCGCACAAGTAACATTTAATAATATTTAATACAGCATTTACATCAATCAAATATGATATACTAGAGTTAATAAATTGTAGAAATATTAGATAATTACCCTAAAATAGCGGATAATTGTAACATGACATTTCTATCTCCCAAAGTCAGTCTTCGAATTTTTCGTATACTATTTAAGCCTGAATACAGAATCTTTTTGGTGGCATCCCAGAAGAGTCTAGTTTCGTCGGCAGAAAACAAACCGCTGTCCATTGGCCTAAGCAAATCAATCGCAAGCTTATTAAAAACTGTGAAACTTAATGGATGCTCTTGGTGAATTCTTGCATATTCGACCCATTGTGCCAAAGCGAGATTTCTAGCTAGTAAACCACGTTGAGCACTATGTTGAAGAATGAGAGCTTCAGCTGGTGCTGACCAACGACCACACCAACAATATTTCTCAATTTTTTCCGTCTCAATTTCGTGAAGTAGCAATACTCTTAACAAATGTCGATGTTCTTGTGCGGCTACTTGTGCATTATGTTCCGCGCTGAAGGCCAATCGGAGTTTTACAACACCCCGACGTTTTGATTTGTTTTTTTTATCTAGAGCGTACCACATAGTATGCCCCGTTGTTGGTATATCCTAAAAATATAATATATATATAAATAAATAATAATAGATACAAATAGACAGAACATGTAATTAATATTAAAATTACAAATATCATATATTTATGTATAATATTAATTTACAATGTTTGTACATAATTTCATTAACAAAATTTTTCTAATACAAAAAAGAGTTAATTATATGTGTATTTAAATGTATATAACTTTTATATAAATAATATATTAACAATATACTATTAAAATTATATACAAACTATATATTCATTTTATAAGCACTTTCTCTTATAAAAATGTAATATATATGTTATTAAAAAGATAGAAATACAATGTACTTTACATAAATATGTTATACACGACGATTTTTAAGATGTTATAGTCATTTTTTTTCTAAACATTTTTGGTATCAAGGAATAAGCTTTTACATACTCTGTATAATAATTCGCCGCGTAGAAAATAAAGTAAATATGTACATACAATTGTTATACCAGTAATAAAAATTTTTTCTCTTTTTATTAATAACCGATTTAGATCTTACTTAAAAAATGTGCTTAGTACATATATGCTAATTAAATTTTAGATTACCTTTAATGGTATTCGACATCGACCAATGAATTCATTATCATGACTACCAGTCGTAGCCGTTACTGCAATTTCCTTGGCTAGTTTAACTAAGCCACGAACACCTTTAACATCTTTAACTTTGCTCATTTTTTCAGGCACAGTTTCGGCAGCGTCAAAATCCCTAGAATGCGTCATTGGAATTATAATAATTAATAATAATACTGCGATATACATATAAGTAGTATATATATATATAATAGTATAACTTACCATACTTCAAGGCACAAGACGTCGTTTTCAGGATCCTCTAACGGTCTAAATAATGAAAATATATAATTTAAGAATATTTAACATTACTTATTCACTTTAAGTAAACATTTAGTATATTAATAAAATTTTTATGGTATGCGATGTATTGCTATTTTCAAAATATTTTCTTATTCTTAAGTTTTCATATATTTAAAAAATATTGATGTTTATCAAAAATTTAAAAATACAATGTTATGTATGTTAAAATAAAAATGTTTTAATTATTTTACAAAATTACAATTTATAATAGAATGAATATTTTACTTACAATTCAAAATGTTCTTCCCAAATTGGACTAAGTGTACAAGTTTTCACAGCAGTATTGTATCTTCTGGTCGGGGCTGATTCGAGATAAAGAGCACAGAAAGGATCACTTTTGCCGTTAGAATCTTTGGAGACTAACTCTTTGGCTTCGATCACTTCAACATTTAGGTGCAACTCTGGCGGCTAAAATATGAGCAATAAAATTATAATATAAAATATATTTAAATATATATTATATCTATCTCTCTGTGTCATACATAATTATAAAAATAATTACCTCGAGATTTTTTGTTTCTTCTAACACTCTTTCGTGTGTCTCGTTATCGACTTTAAAAGCATTTTGTAAGTGGTTCAAAAGAGCTTCTTGGCCACATTCTTTGGAAATATCAAAGCCAATCTGATGTTGTGTCATATACAGCAGTGCAGCATAAAGTTCTTCGATCTATAAACACATCATATACATATATAAGATTAATCATAAAAAGTAGCAAAAGACACATATGTATAACCACAAGATATTTCTTTATCAATTATCATTAGCAGTCAATTTATGAGTTTTATATTGCTTAACTCAAACCTCACATAATGCTCTTAATTGCGAATTTGCTAATTGATGATTTGCTATGTTATGACAATATAATCTGCCGATAATGAAAGACAGTTTGGAGCGTGTTATTTTCGAAGCTTTGTTGAAAGGTACATCTGCGAGTCAAAGTACAAAGTCTTTAATGAAATTATTTACATGTTTAAAATAGTAGTCTTATAATCACACAATAGGAAAATAATTTTAAATAATTAAAAAAATTTTTTTTACAATAAATTAAAATTAAAAGAAATGATAAAAAATAAAATAAAAAGTATATAGAAGAAATAAATATTAAGACGAAAAGAAACAGAATGGAAAAGGAAACAAGGAGTAAAAATTAATAAAAATTTTCTGTCGCAGTTCCACTATCTGATGTTTTTTTAAAAAGAGATTAAAGATGCTCTTATACCTATACGAATATTCTTCATTATTAATCAAAACTATTTAGAATATTCGATGATTAAACTCACCGTCATGGATTGCAAAAGTGCATTGGTCCTACGTTCAATTTCAGCCTTTGGTACTCCACAAAAAGTATTTCTCATTCGATTGAGAGTGGTCGCCCCTATGAGCGGATTTGTGCTCACCATATTGAATCTCATATAAATCTATTCACTTCCCGAACTTACAAACAAAACTTACACAGACAGTCATGCAGTCACCTTGAGATATGTGTTCAGTTCTTTTATGATGCACATTATGTGTGTTCAAAAAAGTCATTGTTAAATGTACAATCAAATCGTAATTGTTTTGTCAGTCAACGATATACGTCATCAATTTTCTTAGATGATTCGTCTTGAACGGTTTCGACGACAACGACGAGGAACAGTAAATCTAAAGAAGAGGATCTAAAGCAACACGACAATGACCCGCGGAAATGCAAGACAGAAGATCATATTGTTAGCTAAGAACAACGACGTTTATGCATCAGTGATCCTGGCCTCAATCAGACTTCGAACTTGTTCACACCGACACGTTCAAAACTTGCGAAAGGAATAATTGACCGTGCAATGACTTCTATGTGATCACATTCAATGAGGAACAATAAAAATTATTTTAGCCAAAGATTATTTTCCGAAAGCGTTTCGTAAGTTACTGACGATACTGCAGAGAGAAAGAGCCGATTTATCGCACTCTTGATCGACGAATTTCGTTGTGGTATTGAACGCACTTTGTCAGCCGAAGATGAACTTCCACGACCTTTCTTATCGACAATACGACGAGTCGTCGCATATTTGACCATGTGTATGCATAATTGACGATCGCAATCGATCGTAGCATGTATAATAATCATAATACTTTGCTATTAATCGATAGCATATGGTCTGATACAAGCTTGCACGTTTACATCAATTGAGGAACTTAAAATAAGATTGTCGCCATTAAAAAAAATTCTCAGTGAAATTTTCGTATTTTATTTTATTTACAATTAGTATGAAAACGATTATAATTAAATTTAAGAAAATTAATTATTTGATTTATTTTTATTACGTGCAACATATTAAAAAGTGAAGTTTGCTTGAGAGTGTCTCTTTAGATGATACATGAAAAATTTATTGTCGATTTATCAACATAAAAACAAGTTAATAATAATTTAAGAAAACAGATTATATTAATCATTGTGATAAATTTTAGGTTGTTAGTAAATATTGCATTTTATTATTGGCTATATCAGCCAGCAATGCGCGTATATATGTTTTACTAACAAGTTAAAAACAATATTAAAATTGTAGCAAGTACAATACTTTTATATTTATGCTGTTATTGTAATTATGGTTTTCTAACATCTTCAAATGTTCTTTATCGTTTTTTGCAGAAAAATCGATAATGTGGTAAGACATGCTTAAAATACATAGCTGGATCCATACTAACAACTTCAAAGAGATATTTTCTAAATAAACTATCTACAAACCTGCTATAACAAACTTTCTGGAATAGTCAATAATATTATAAACACCTTGAGCATTTTATATACAGTAATATCAAAAAGCAAATTATTGTTTTATGTAATTTTTACACAAATTATTAAATAAAAAAATTACGAATTAAAAATATTGATAATAATAAGCAATATCTACATATATTTTTTATCAAGATGCTACTACCATTTATAATAAAATTGTGAAATATAATATAGTTCTTTTTTTACATTTTGCATACTTTGCCTCTCACATGGGAATTTTTAATTTCTAATGAAGGTCATAAGGTCAGCAATTCTGTATGTGAAAATACTAGAATTTGGGACGCAGCCTTCAAAGTCCACTTATATATATAGTTGCCAAGCGCAATTGACTTTGACAGTGAGATTTAGATTGCACTATATTTCAGAGTTAAGTTTAAATGGTGATGAAAACAACATCCTTTAAGCACACAAACAATATCATTAAATATTTAATACGCGTTAATTGTTTTCTATTAATTTTATATTATAATTTTTTATGTCAAAAAGCAAATAATTATATACATATTTATATAATATTATTTATATATACAAATCTTATATATATGTGTGTTCTCAAGAAAGAAATCATGTTTATGTATTTGAATATAGTCTGAAAATACGTAGCAAATCTGGACACAAAATAACTATGTCGTATCCCGTTTAGAGTGACCTACAGGACAAGTGTAACCACAATGCGTTCATATGTTCGTGCAATTACGTCCAATGAAAGTTGATATACCGACAATTAGTTCATTGGCCATCAAGGCGTATCGAAACACCCGTTGTATGATAAATGAAATGTGTGAATGTATGTATGTGCGACGTGTTTTTATCCTTCTTACACTTTTGCTTAATTTTCATAGAATTATGCAATTTTGAGTCGGTCCAACTCTACGCCCACTCTAATACCGATTTTATCTTTCGACGGAAATAAGGTATACTAGTTATATACATGTAGGATGTCATTATAATCACAATTAATTTTAATAATAATATTGTTACAACATTAATAAGTTTGAATAATTTATATCTATTATTTGGACCTTAGCCGACGAAAAATTTAATTTAGTTTAGATTTAACGTTTGGAATACTTTTTAGAATATATAGGTAAAAATATTTTGTAAAAGTACAAATATAATAACAAAAGGTATATTGATTTATATACAAAAAAACTTTGTTGGTAATAAAAATAAGAAGCTTTACTATAAATATTGAGACGCGCGTGACGATACCACGTGATAATTCGATTCGTTTTTAAACTGTCTCTGACAATTTGCCAGTTTTACGAAAGGCTATCGGACATAAAAAGAAAAAGCTAACCAGTTCCAACCCAGTTTTCTGAGTAGCGATTTATTTTTACGATTTAGCAAATACCAAAAACTGAAGTACTTGAATTACAGTAAAATTGTAACTGAATAAGCTATAGAAAATTATATTTATGTTTTACATACATATTATAAATATATTATATTTTTATTAAATAGCCGTTGTACTAACATTCTTTAAAAAATTTTGTTTTATTTTTTATAAATTATTTTTAAATTTTCATTAAAAGAAATACTAGTTGTGTTACAATTATTTTTAATTTTTCTACATTATATACTGTGATATTGCTTATTAATCAAACATTAAACTTAAACACAATTTAATTTTATATCAAAAATACGATTTAAAAAAAAATATGAAATATTTTTAAATAAAATATTTGTAATTTTTTTGATATTTTTCTCTATAAACCACAAAACCACACAACACATAACAAATTAAACTCTATTTCATTGAGATATCTATGTTTAGGATACACATTTTTTGCACAATTCACATTAAAATTTTTTCAGATATTAAAACAAATTTAAAACAGATTAATAAGAATAAAAAATTCATTACTCTCTGTCAAGATTATTTACACATAAAAACACATATAAATATGTTTATGTTTTATTGTTCTAGCACTTCTGGAAATAAATATATTTTGTAGATATTTGACATTCCAGTTAATTAATTTATAACCATTAGTAAAGCTTAGAAGAACTGGTAAGGATAATCGGCGTGAGAAGACAAGACAGGAACTTGACGAAGGCAAACACCACACTGCCAGGAATAGATAGACCGACGGATCAGAATCGTCGTACGTCGACGAGAAGACCTCGTGGTAGTGTAATGTGCATTTGCTAACGCACAAACACGTGGATCTCATTTCAGATTGAGTTTAACTACTCGATTAAGCATGACACCCCATATGGAAGATGCATGCGTGAGGATATAATTGTATGTACTACTTGTATTGAGAATATTTGCGATTTCGCCATAATTGTGTATATATTTTTTAATCAAATCACAAACGTGCAAATCGTTTATAATACAAAATAAAAAAGAAAGAGAGAAAAATTGTATTGTTTACTATTATTATACATGTATCTAAATTTTTATGATTTGTAATATTTTATATATTGTTTGCATTTTGTAATTTTGAATATGTTAATAAATTTAATAATTTTTATTTTTCTCTCAAGATAGTATACAAATATTTGACTGATTAAGAATTTATTGCGTGTAATGCAGCATTTTAACTGATTGATGATTATTTTGTATCAAAGTTCAACTTTAAGATTGTAGAACAACGATTGATTCTTGCATCAATGAAAATTTATTGGAATATTTTGTTCAATGTGACGTCATGCAAAACAAATTACAGAAATATATGAAAGGATATATTCATTACGTTAATGAATCTTTTGCAATCAAACTATGTATGTGTGATTTCATAAGTAATAAAATATTTTTTTACAGAAATATCTGATACAAATTGCATGTACTATACAAATATTCAGCATATCAACATATAGACTAGAGTGTAGTGCAAAGTGTAACATAATGTGCAAATAAATTTGCTTATTCTTAGTTGATTTCATGACTTACAGCTTTTTTCTCTTCCTCTTCACTTTTAGTAAAAATGGTTCGTCAAATTTTATTAGACGCATTATTTTATGTCAAAACAAATTAATTCTAATAATTAATTATAATAATTAATTTACAGTGTTAAAGAAAGGCATGATTTTGTATGGTAACACAAAACACAAGGGAGCGTCTAACTTCAACTACCCTTCGTGCCGGACTAAATGTGAGAAAGAGACCTTTGGAAAAATCAATACCGTTACAATCATGTGGCAGGACATGCCATATACAGAAAATATGAAGTTTCGATCTAACAAGCAGAAGCATGAATCATGAATATCTATCATGAATGCAAAAAGTTAATTATACTATGCTGTGATTACGAAGAAAATAGACAAAAATATTCATAATTAATATGTAAAACATTATGCATACTTTTAAACTTAACGATAAAATAACGGGACTTTTTGTTTATTGTTTAATTTATAATTTCAAATTTATTGAATTTTAATTTTTAAATTTTTCTACGAAATATTATTTTTGTGAGTTTTTCACTTTTTATTACTTTGTAATAAATTATCACTTTGTAATAAATTTTTCTGAGACATTTATATAATATAAATATATATTAACAAATGTCAAATGTCATGTTCCATAAAATTTAATTTCACACACAATTAATACGATTATCTTTTAAAATTATTCTCCCATGTCGACAAATCTGTTTTGAATTAAATGCGGTGTGAATATAACGCGTTATATAAAAGTTCTTTCGACTGCTGTGCGTAAGCATTACAGAGTAAAGAGCCATTTCGATCTTGAACAGACCATCCGTTATCTATTGACGTAAAGGATGCGGTATGGAGTTACTCTTGAAGTATTTTCAGACAACACTTTGCGTGCTGTTAACGCGTGAAAATTTGTTTCTTGTCGAAAGTAGTCATTAATAATGTGATATAACAAGCTATCTTAGATTAGAATCTCAAAATAAGATACGATAATATATCGTCTCTAAAAAAGATTTATTAATCTTCTAATATAGATACGGTTTACAGCTTTCGAGCACTATGCTTGCGTGGAAGATTTTAGTTAAGCAATTTCATTTTGCAAAATTTGTAATATTTTATATAAAATGTAATTGTACTATAAAGTAACATAAAGCTATAATTTCTCCTTGTTTAACAAAACTAAAAAAATTATGTGTATACATATATGTACATATATGTATTTTATATATAATAAAAGTTTCATTATAATTTATAATTATAATAATATTAATATAGTATTAATTCTTTTTGTATGATTTTATATTAGGAATAATATAAAATATTTAACACTCACGTTAAGCCCATCGATTCGGCCAGGAAATTCCGAGCATGCTCATTTTCATCTCTATCACTGTCAGTTTCCAGCAGGCCTCAGTTGGCTCATCGATGCTTTCTTCTTCACTTATGATATCTTCTTTTCTGGCGTTTCATCCTTTTTCTTTGGAAGTGGGCCTTCTGCTTGTTCTTGAACGCGAACTTTTTCCGCAAGCAATGTGCCGAGATTTTCGAAAAAGCCGCCATCGGATTCTTGTATTCTGAAAGTATAAAAATTTAGATTAGTTTAATTCTATCTTTTATAATTGACTATAAAATTTTGTATTTTGTTGATATATATTTTATCATATAAAATTAAAAATTCTTTTATTTTATAAAATATTAAAATATAAAAACTATATACTTTTTTTAAACATAGTTGTAATTGTTATGTTACTTTAAATATAGAGAAAAATAAATATTGTGTATGATTTAAAATTTTTATGTATTGGAAAATAAAAATGTGTAAAAAATACTTTGCTTCAAGCTAGTGAGCCAAAATAATTCAGTAATATTTAATTTTTTATGATATTGATAATTGAATATATATGTATAAAATATGTAATGAATAAAACGTTAAAGCAATATTCTATTTATAATGCGTTTACACTACAAGACAATATTCCACATATAATCCGCTTACATACAATCATACAAAAAACTTGATGTCTGATGATACATTTAAGAAATAAATCCAACTCTCAATACTTTCACCCACTGTAATATACATAGCACTACACTACAAGACTCATACATTAACATACATTATAGCGCTTTTAATATTTCGATATTTCTATTTCTAACATAAAACTATGTTTTAGAGGAGCACATTTATAAATAAGGTACTTCA